CAGCAGAGCGAGGTGTGAGTCAAAACATTGCCTTCTAATTCCACAAACACTTCATTCGTGACAAAAGGCAGCTTACACTTAATGTGACTTTTTATTGTTATTTCTTACAATGACTCCATTAAGTCTGCCGAGGCAACTAAAAAATGCTGCAAAAAAACCACCAAAAAAAACGTGGGGAAGATGAGTGCATAAAGTTGTGTTGCACATCTGCTTCTTTGATAGAAACATGGGAATAATTGATTTGTAATTAAACGCCTGTGGATGTGGCTGCTAATTTGGAGGCTTGCATGCTTTTTCTCTGCATTTGACCCTAGCAGCTGTTCGTTGTTTGGCGCAGTTGAAAAGGAAATGTTCAATCATTTTACCTCCAGCCAATTTTAATATGCGTCTACCTGTGTCATCAGCGTAATCATCGAAAACTCTCAGGGACCTAAACTTCCAGGAAAACTGCAAGGTTCTAGAAAACATTCAATCTTCTCTTGTGACCCGATGCTGCACTCATACATGTAAATAATAAATGCAGCCAATGAGGCCAGGAAAAATGTTTGGACCATCCCTGCAATTTTTTGCCTTTTTTCACCAAAAGTAATATCCAGCTGATTTATTGTTCCCTTATTGTCTAATATAATTTCTTGGAGTTGCAAAACATCATAAAGTAATGATACTATTTCAGTTTGAATGACTGCATAAACACTGCAAAACTTGGCAAAAAGTAAAAGCCGAGGCACAAAGTTGGAGAATTCACGTCATTCGCTTTAAATATCATCGGTAGCACAAAGCTGCTCAGTTATCATTTTTTGCCTTCTAATTATTTCTTTTATAAATGTTGTCTAATGTATGTCACAAAAACCTCCTTTTGTGTTTTTCTTTCTTTCTTTTTTTTAAAGTTTTTTGTCTGCCTCCATTTTTATCTACTTGTCTTAATCATGCTCACCTGTTCCCTCAATCTCCCGTGTTTTACAGATGACCTTATCTCACTTTTTATTTCATTTCATTACTCTCTAGGGCTTCAAATGGGCATTTTGCTTTGCTTACCTACTTTCGGCTTATCTTCTCATCTCTGCAGCACTGTTTTCTCTCTTTTCCTTTCCTTTCCTCGCCTCCCTCCCCTCCAACCATCCGTTACCCTCTCTCTCTCACTCGCTTAGCGCTGTCCATAAATTGTTCGGTATTTACAGTATGTGGCCAGACGCCAGGTTTCCATTAGGTGCTCTGTTCCCCGGAGACGGCGCCGGTGGCCTGGGATGTGTTACCTTTGGATGGAGGGCAGTAGGGAGGGTGAGGGGGGACAAGCTTGTGAGGAGAGAGTAGGAAGTAAAAAGGAAAAAAAGAGGGGAAGGGACAGAGATTTGAGCATGTATTTAAGGCAGAGTAGAGAGAGGGTGATAGTGAGAAGGTCAAGTGAGGAAAAAGGAATGAGTGGAGAGATATAAAAAATAGAAAGCTGTGGGAAGAGAAGGTAGGAAGGTAGATGTAAATAGCTTTTGCACTTGTTGACAGTAACAAGGTTACCTTCTTTTTTAGAAAATTTGACTGGTGCTCAACAGGTGGTGCTTGAATGACTAGTGTTTAGTAATGAAGAGTTCAGTGGAACCTTGTTTTGTTGTGGAGACGAACAATATCTACATCACGGGGTGAGAGGATAGAGTTTTCTGCCTCCTAATGTGAAGAAAAAGCCATATCTGGTTTGAATTTGTTTCCGTGCGTGGCACCGCGGCACTTCCAGCACAGCTGTTACTTTCAGATTGCTCCCTGTAAGCCCCATCCTGACCACTCACATTTGTGCCTCCGCAGTACGCACTGGATCTCCTTCGCTGTATCAAACCTCGACCCCTCAATTTGAATTTCATTTTGGGAAAGTGGATGAAGTTCTGGGGAGCTAAATCTGGCAAGTAGTGCTGGTGATTAGCAACAGTTGCCCTGGTCCTGCCCAAGTTTGTGGTTTAGTAGTGATGGAAGCTCTCCAGAGATGCAGAAGAAAATAACTTTGAGGAGGAGCTTGACCATGTGCAGGATCAAGGAACATTTTGAATGCACTTTGCACTGGCTTCCAGTTGAATTTTACTCTCACATGTCACATCGCATTGTTGAATTCAAAGAATTCAAAGTTTTCAGTATTCAGAGTGTTTTCTGCATTTAGATTATTTGTGAAATTCAGACCTGTGGCACTTGAACTGAAAACTGTTTAACTAGAGCCTGTCTGTTTATTTTAACAGTCAGTCTAAAGGTGCAAATGTATAATACATGCAGAAACACGTTTGGTAGGGCCAGAGGTGCCACCAAGGAGGGGCCAGGGGGGGCACTGGCCCATCCTGGCAAGACTGTCCTATGTTAGTAATATTTTTAATAAACATGAGCACAAGAGAGGAAGGCATCCTACAATGAGTTGAAACATTAACTTGTTATTTATATTTTTACACACACAGACAGAAGGTTGGTGGCACAGCGTGTGCCACCCCAATATTTTTAGTGATCCTCGTATGGCCACCCTTATGAAAAAAAATCTGAAGGTGCCCCTGCTGGTGGCACCATCTTATATCACCAGTACACAAAATAAGCTTAGAAGCAGAGGAGCTATTTCTGAACTACCGTGTGTAGATTTTACAGTATCCAGCTGTACTACATTGCATATGGACACATTGTTTGACTTCCTAAAAAACCTGGTTTCTCTCTTTCGTTCATGTGAATGTAATAAGAGAAATCCAAGTGTGGGAGGACAGAAAAGCAGTGCGATAGATAAAGACAGAAGTAAAACAGGAAGGAATGAGTGGGGGAAAGTGGATCTAAAAGGAGATGGGGAAAAAAAGAATGAGAGGAGATGCAGACCGAAAGAAGCATAAGAGGTGAAACATAAGGAAGAAAGAATTGGTAACGAAGAAAGAGACAGGAAGGCTTTAGAGGCTTTTGGATGAGGCTCTCTCCTTATCTGCTTTATCTCCTCCGGTTGTTCACTGCCGGACCCTCTCCCTCCCTTCCTCCCTCCTTCCATCTGTCAGACAGACAGCTGTTGGCAGACTCGCTCTGTTGTTGTTCACTCTGTCCAGAGTCTCCCCAATCCAAGCCCTCAATTCCTCCATCTCTTTCCAAATATGCTTTTATATTTCTCTCCTCTCCACCCGACCCCTGTCAACAGTTTGGAAGAACTTGACATTCTTTGCAATTTACTCGTGTGGTCAGAAAGTTAAAAAGGTCTTCCTGTGGGTTACATGAGAACGTCAGTGACATCAGTGTGCAATCAGAGTTTATTTGGTCTGTTGCACTTCTTGTTGGCGATGTGTTTGTATTTGAGCTGCTGCACATGAAAGTGTATGATGTGAGTCTGAGCTTTTTATTGGAATAAAGGACTAATGATGAGCATTTATTAGAGTTTGGGCACTCTCGTCCTCTGCCAGTGAGATACATATATAGTTTGTTTGATTGCATGTTATTGTTTGGGTGATTGATTGCGTTGAACCAGAGCTGTTTTAGTCAACATTTTGACTGGATTCCAGACTCTTCTAAATCTGCTTCAGCTAATACTAAGATTGCCTCTTTTTCTTCTTTAACTTCTCTTCGATTGCCTGTTCACTGATTCACAGTGTTATATGCAGAGTCTAGCATCAGGTCAATTAAACCTCTGGATGTTGATCTGGTCAGTGTCAAAGGGGGTTTATAATCACTTTCAGCTGCTTTGGTGTTAATGAAATTAGCAACAGGTGCACTAGAGGGGCAACAGTGAGACAGTCTCCGCAACAGGAATGGTTTTACAGTTGGAGGCCACTGATATTTTCTCCCTGCTCATCTTTTTTGAAAGCTTTTTTTTTTAATATAGTCAATATAATAGTCAATGGTATTATGAGGTAGCATGAGGCGATACCTGGATCCCACTGGTGTGAATATGACAGACAAAAGAAACAGAAACAAACTTTGTGAGGTCGGCCTGAGAGCCTGACGTCCTCAAGAGGGTGCTGTGCTCACAGCCTGGCATTGTGGCAAATGGCATTTGCCATAAAATACCAGAATAGGTGCGTGTACCGCTAGTGCCCCGTGCTTTTCACAGATCACCTTCACTTTGAGCACATGTGACAGGCATAAAAGGGTCTGGAGAGGCTGTGGAGAACATTAAACCGCCTGTAGCCTTGATCAGCATGACCAGTTTGGTGGTGGGTCAGTGATGGTCTGGGAAGGCATATCCATGGAGGAACGCACGGAGCTGTACAGTCTAGACACACATGAAATCCTTGGACCCATTTTCAGATACACTAGTACACTGGGTCCTGGGTTCCTCCTGGTGCATGGCAATGCCTGACCTCATGTGGTGAAAGTATGCAGGCAGTTCCTGGAGAATGAAAGAATTGCCACCACGCTTGCCAATGGAAAACCTCTGGGGCATTATGCTTCAGCCTAACTGACGCCACCAGGTTGGACTTTAGCCTTTCCAGGAGCCATGCAGACAAACACATGTTTGTACGTCCACGAAATGACATCCTTTTGTTCCTAATACATTACCCAATCCTGGGTATCTGAGGGAGGACACGCAGCAGAACAGAAGCAAGCCATCATGCTGTCATGTACAACAAATTGAAAACACAAGTTGTTGTTTTTTTGGCCACATCAACAGAATCTTCTCTTACTGTACCTTACTCACCAAATTTTTCTCCTCCCTGCAACTTGGTCCTCTTTCCCAAAATAAAATTCAACTTGAAAGATCGTCATTTTGACTCATTGTCAATTTTATCATTGAGACGTAAATGCAAGGGGATAGAAGAGTACTTTCACAACATGATAACAGCTGAAGGCTTAAAACAGTCTAAAGATGAAATACTAAATATTTGTTGTATTACCTATACTAAATGTTCTGAAATTTATTTTTGAATTTATTTTTCAGCCTATCCCAGCTGTCGTGGGGCGAGAGGCGGGGTACACCCTGGAAAGGTCGCCAGTCTGTCGCAGGGCTAACACACAGAGACAGACAACCATTCACGCTCACATTCACTCCCGCATTCACACCTATGTGGCAATTTGGATCAATCAATTAACCTATCCCCACAAACTGCATGTACCCCGCCTCTCGCCCTACGACAGCTGGGATAGGCTCCAGTGCCCCCCGCGACCCTGAAAAAGGAGAAGTGGAAGCGAATGGATGGATGGATGGAATTTATTTTTCATTCCTTGAACATTTATAACAAAAGGTTTGTTATTAGTGTGTGAGGTATTTTATTTTGAAAGTCATTTGGGATAAAGAGAACATGCCTTGGTTTCGGTAACTTGTTAGAGAGCTGCATTATTAAACTACATTTGTAACTATTTACCCTCTCCCCCTCAAAAAACAAAAAACACTGTATTACTTCATTCCCTCGTTCCAGGTCCGCTGGTCAGATGTGGGTGGGATGGAAGAAGTGAAGCTAAAACTGAAGCAGGCAGTGGAGTGGCCCCTGAAGCACCCAGAGGCCTTCACCCGCATGGGGATCCAGCCACCTAAAGGCGTTCTTCTCTATGGGCCTCCGGGCTGCTCGAAGACCATGATTGCCAAGGCTCTGGCTAATGAAAGTGGGCTCAACTTTCTGGCTATTAAAGTGAGTTTTCTCCATGAAATCTTAAGAATAATCCTTTGCTACCTTTCTTTAGATGAGATTTAATAGAGAATTGTGCTTTTCTGTTATGCAATGGATGATGAGTTGAAATCAAAAAAGGCACTGGGCAAAAGCTTGCTGTTTTTTCCAAACTTTCATACATAAATATGAACAAATAATGTTTTACAGATGTGCCTGTTCATATCATATTCTTGGTTGAGTGCTCTGCCAAAACACTGCATATGACTCAGCCATTAGTTAGATGATGGGTGATTTGTTGAGTCAATCTCAACTCCCAGTTCAAGCCTTTTTAGCAGAACCTCAGTAACAGCAGTGTTTATGTAGGTTGCATTGTCATTCCCTCAGAAACCAACTGGAAGAACTTAGTGAAATTACCTCCCTTTAACGTGCATGTGTTGAACAGTTGTGTTTCATATCTTCACTGAAATTTAAAGATGTTTGCACCAAGTTACCTGCTTCACAACTCCATGTTTTTAGCATAGATTGTATACAAAAAAAAGAAATTACTACAATGAAATCAATCAGTCGTATCATATTTGTTTTTTGGAGGCAGATGTTGCCCTATTTAGACAAGAAGGTTAGTGCTAAGTTATTAGCTAATGTGTAGATCACCTCCTTCATCCAAAGACTGTACGGGTGCGTTGGATAGACACAGATACCAGCTAATAAGTGCAATGAAGATGCAAGAAGCAAATACTAAAATTTCAATCACCAAAACAATGAGCACTCACTAGTAAAATGGGCTCTTAGTACCATTAAACACACACGGGGCCATATGATTTGTCAGATAATTGCATTAAAAGGAAACCACAAACGCAGATGGGAACTCCACTTAACTGACATTTATCTCTAGGCTGTCAGTGAGATGTGAGAGTTAAATGAACACTGAGATATCATTTGTGTTGAAGTAGCAGTGGTGATGTTTCCCTAATGACCTGAAGGCAGATTGGCGGGCCAGCTTCCTCTGCACAGAGCTTCCTTGCTTGCCCTTTGACCCCGTGTTTATCCTCTTTCATTCATCACTCCATCGTCTCTGCCACGTTAGCCTCACTTCCCTCCGAGCACGGTTGACAGAGATTGATTGATCAGCTTGCTGAATTGTTATCAGTGAATATTTTTAAAGAATGTTGCCATGAAGACAAGAAGCCAAGACAGAAGCTCTCAACTGGAACCATTAAGCCAGGAGCAAATCTAGATGTGAACGGCAACGTCTTTACCCGAATCAAATCCTGTCGCAAACCTCTGGGATCGACGGAAGGCAGTGCTCCTTTTGGCATGATGTTCAGGTCGAGGATACAACGTTTATGGCAGTTGGTGAAAAACAAAGGGTAGCACTGTAGAAACCAAAAATGTTGCTACACTTACTCTAAAAACAAATATTCCCCTGAATATTACAAAACGTGCTGTTTCCTAATTACAATAATCAGGTTCAATGTGCAATAGCATTTTAATGGAGCAAATATAATCCAGAGGAATCCGAGTTGTTTAATGTCTGTGCACGCACATTAGTCCCGGTGACTATTTTTAGCATTTGATACAAAGTTACTGCTTTTTTTTTTTTTAAGAGTTTCATTAGAATCTTGTGCTGCAAGTTTCAAGTCGTCACAAAAAGAATCTGCTCAGTGAGAAGGGTAAAAACATCCTGTCCCTCCTGCTGAAAGCCACTCTCACCATCTGAAATAACACTATCAGGTTTTTCCAGAGTAGCGGTTGCTTTGACATAGATACTTTATCCAGATTTAAATGTGGATACTTTAAGGCTCAGTCTGTTTCCTCTGTGTGAAAAGCCCTATTATCATCTTGTCAATTTTAGTTTCCTCTCGCTGCAGCCACTCAAATACGCTCAAATCCGCAGATGCGTACGTGCACACTAACACACACATACGGAGAGCGCTCATATCTCTACAGTGTCAATGGTTTTAAACTCACCATGTCCACCCTTTGGCTCTACAACAGAGAGTGAGGAACCAGGGATTAATGAGTCAACCTCCTCACTTACTGCAGGAGACAAAGGGGCTGGGAGTTAAGTGTCGTCTCCTCGGTGAGCCCAGAGGCGTTGAAAGGGTGGATTGCAGTGGAGGAAGTTCTTCTGAGGTTTGAGTGGATGTTTATCTGCTCTGAGCAAGGGAGATATGAGGCAGAAAAGGACTAGGAAGTTAAGAAGAAGAGAGAGAACTGGAGGTTTATTTTGTAGTAATTTGAGTAAAATTAGTCGTGATAGCAGTTTAAGTAGAATTAAATGAAGTGAGTACATTTTTTAGCGTCCACAATTTCCTCAGCCACAATGAAATGCCGGAAATGGCTTAATCGCCTCCTATTTTGTCAGGAAATAACAAGCGTATGCTTTACAGTAATTATCTATTTGAACAAGCAGGTTGTTTGTTACGCCAAACGTCTCTCTGATCGATGCTCTTCAATAGCATACTGACGTCGAACGCGTTAGATGCTTTCCTAGTGCAGTATTAGTTGATTTGCTACTGCAGAGCATTTAAACATATCTAAGAAGTATATTCCATGCTTCTTGTAAAAACCCAGATGTAACTGTCCAAGCTGTGAGGGAAAACTCAAGAAACCATTTTCAAACATCTCTGGTTTTAGGCTGACAGGAGGCCAAAAATGAAGAGGGGAAAAAAGTATCCTCTCAAACATAACCAGCAGAGTGTGGATGTGGTCTTAGTAGCAGTGGTATCTGGAGGAATTAGTGTCTTCCAGTTGGAAGAAACTGCAACTAAATGGAAATAAAATGCTCATTTATCACTGTCAGCAAGGCTGGGTTAAAACCTTGACAAATTTGGCTGCTGTCCTGCACACAGTTTTGATCTGGCTGAGCCAATGCAGTGTTTGGTTTTGGTTACAAACCTTAAATTTTATCTGTGAGAATGAGCCCGAGATGTAATTTGGTAGGTTGTGATGCCAGCTACAGTTATAGCGGCGTTCATAGTAGGTACCGGTAGCACTATTGTACTAACAGTAACAAGGGAGGCCGCAGCAGCAAACAGTACTGTTTATTTGCCAAGTGAACCACAGGTGTTGCATAAAGCAGTACACAGTGTCCAGTAAACATCGAAAGAGTACTGTGGAGGTACGCACTCACACACACGTGCACGCACTGCTGTAATCTGTAACATTCTTACACGCTGTATTATCATTGTTTGTTTTTCACCGGGCTCTTTGTAGCCTGCAAAAGATGTGACAAAGAAGCAGCTGCTGTGTGGTCACAGTTTAAACAGCTATGCTAACAGGACTGCCACCAGATGAAGCTTCAGGATAAAAAAAGGAATGATTAGCCATAAAGGTGCTAGAAATTAAGGCAAATGAATTCTTTCTGGACAGAATAAAACCCACATCAAAGTGTTTTGAGTATTAGTTAATATAATTTAGCATTTCAGGTAGTAAATATGTCACGTTTAAGACTAGCTTGAATACCTTTAAATCGCTTTAAACGTTTCTTTCAGGGCCCAGAATTACTGAGTAAATATGTTGGGGAGTCTGAACGAGCTGTGAGAGAGGTATGTGCATTTAACATCCTTGTTTATTATCATATACATATACGTATATATATAAGTTGTGTAAGCAGAAAGTTATGCACACTGAGTTGATTTCCTGGCCTCTTTATTTCCTCCGTCCATGCTCTGGATATTTTTGGTTGTTTACGCAATGAAAGGATGACCTGAGATGTAATTCATGGCATTAATGAGTGTTGTATTTCCTCTGTATGTTTGTGCGCACTTCTGGTTGGGTGTGATTCACAAGTCCGGTTAAACATTTGTCCTGTTTTCCTCCTTTCTATTGTTGCTGACGCTGCTTGCAGGTGTTTCGGAAGGCGAGGGCCGTCGCTCCCTCCATCGTCTTCTTTGACGAGATTGATGCTCTCGCAAGTGAAAGAGGAAGGTACAGTATGTTCTTTTCATAGCCTTCGTACATAATAATCCCTCCCCCCCCTTTCCTCCTCTGCTCTGTTCATTCCTTGTCCAGTCACGATGATGCACAATCATCACTGTGGTCGGCTTTACTTCACCAGCCTTAATCTTTGACCCCCCCGCAGATCTCACAGTTAATTCATATGACGGTTAGCGCAAACATCCCAGGAAGTCTGCATGACTGCACTATCCAAGCCAGCCACTCAGTTCTCGCCGTGTCTCCTCAAACTTTTGCGGCTTTTCACTCCCGGTGAACACAGAACACAGTCTTGTCTGGAGGAGCTTTAGTGGGATGGCACTGGGAACATCTGTGGCTTAAAGGAAAGAGGACGGGGGGGAGGGGAGGGGGGGCGGACAGAGGACACAGGCCGGAGGCGCACAAACACTTCATTGTGCCCTTCCACGGCAGATGGGGAAGGCCAAATATGCAGCAAGCTTCCTGGTTAAACCAACCGATGAAACTAAGTTGTAGGAAGGAGCAGAGAAAGGCCAATGGGCAGTCTTTGTAACCTTTGTGAGTGGGCCCTTTGTCAAAGCATCACATTCTGCTTCTAAGACAAAACATATTTTGATAACTGTACTTTTGTTAACGGGCTTCCGCTTACGAGATGTTGAATTTTTAACATCTTATATTCCCTTGACCTTAGTTCTTAGACTTGATAAGCTAGGCCTTTCACTAGGCTGAGCTTTAGAGCTTGTGACTTATAATGCAGTCTTGGCTCTTGCGCTGCAATCAGCATACAGGATATACTATTGCAACTTTGATTCATCCATTTGCCAGTGGGACTGACGAGCATTTTTGCTCTCACGATATGATTGAGCCTCGCTTTCTCATTATCTCGATGTCCAATTTTGTGATTGATCTCAACGAGAACCTACTGCGAGGTGGCAACGATCGACGTTCGCCTGGATGCGTGCCTTGAGCCCACTCACTGTTTTAAAAATGCACTTAGCGCTGATCTGTAAAGGTTATTTATTGGCGTTCACTTCCTGCCATGTTTAATCAATGAAGTGCCTCGCGCATGCCGGCAAGAATTTAAAACTGTTGACACAACCAGGCAGTCTTTGCCGGATTGTGAGCCCGTGCGCGCGTGAGAGATTGGGGTTTTTTTTTTCGAGCAGGACAAACACCTGTAAATCTGTCAGCCTACCTGCCACGAGTCTAAACTGGTGAAATGAAATGAAGAAAATTGAAGAAAGATGGAAACAGAAGCCAAATTTGAGAAGCAGAGAGTGATTGGTTTTACTTCTGATAAGTTTTTTTTCCACATAATAGCACCTTTTAATGCTTTCCTTTTTATTTCTATTTTCCTTTTTTCTCTGTTTTGCTTTTATCGTCCCATCCTCAGCTTGTTTTTTGTTCACTTTCTCTTTTTCTCCTCCTCCTGACTTTTTTCTGTTTATTTTCCCATGATAACTTTTCTCATCTTGCGCCTTCGCTACTTTTCTCTTCAAGCTGCCATCCCAATTCATTGCAGCTTCCTTGGCATCTCCCCTCGCCCAAACTTTGTCTCTCCCCCTTCCCCCCACCCCCTTTTCTGTCTCCCTTCATATCTCAGTGACAGAGCTCTTTTGTGTTCCTCTGCAGCCTTGTCTGTGCTAATGACGTCTGGCACTTCCGCTGGCCCTGTCAACAGAGACTGTGTGTGTGTGTTTGAGCTTGGAGGGATAGCTGTCTGCACTGTGTTATGGAAAATAACCACCTTGTTATACAGTGACTAATGCAACGATGAGCTTTTTTTGTTTTTTACGATACAGCTGTCGATGTGCTATCATGCAGTTCTTCTGTCCCACTGTTGCAATGGACAAAGTGGTCCGTCACTGCAATGTATAAAGTTTTGTTTGCTAAAAAATGTTCCTGGATGTTCAGGTAGCCTCAGATGGCTGAACTTACTCATTCACTGACCCCTTTAACATTTGGAAGCTGCTCAATCTTTAAATTTTGCTCCATTTAGGTGAAAGGGAACAGCCCATCTTTCATTCTTTTACCCTTCTCTGACTCATTTTCAGTAGAACATCTCAATACTTTGGTTTACTTTTGAATTACATGAAATATTTGCATAGATCGGCTTTCGCGTCTTCATCACATTGACTTCAGGTGAGGCACGATATTCACAAGTCCAAACAAAGGGACGTATTTAACAACCAGAGAAGAGCTGCTTTATTATAGAGGGATTGCCTGTTTTCTGCTGCCTTGTTTTGAGTTCAGTTTAATACGTCATTGGCAAGAGAGCTCGCTTTTGCTGCCAGTTTTTTTGAAAGAAGTATTGTGCTAATGAAAGTGTCTGCTCGCCGAATGTCAAATGTTCCCTTCAAGTACTCAAGAACTGGCAAATTTTCCTGATTATGTAGAATTGTAAATATTGTGATGGATGATAAAGTTTTTCAGCATGTGTTGTACTGCACTCCTGAGAGAAAAAGGATGAATTCGTCTACATATCTCGATCATTTATCTTCCCATTCATCCATCACGCATGTAACTTCATTATCCCTTATCCTTTACTCTCATTGCTCCGAGTATTTCTTTTCTGTGCATTTCCTCCTTTCCACGTTTATACCTTTACAGGTCATGATGTTCTTCCTCCCTTCCCATCCATCATTTAGCTGTACTTCACTTAACACTCAGTAATTCAATAATTAAGTTTTTCACCCGATTCGAGGTAATTTATATACGTCCTTTCCTGTCTCCGTTATCCATTTAATCATCCAGCCACACATCGCTTTCTTCTCTCTTTTCCATCTTCTTTCGCTCATCTATCTTCTGTGCTTCTCCATGCTTTCAGCTCCTCTGGTTCCAGTGGTGTAGGGGACCGGGTCCTGGCTCAGCTCCTGACAGAGATGGACGGCATCGAGCAGCTCAGAGACGTCACCGTTCTGGCTGCCACCAACCGGCCTGACATGATCGATAAGGTAAACAGACGCCGGCTCTCTGTCTTCATCTCTCCATCCTCCTCTTTGGTCCATGATTGATAAGCT